GAAATGGAAATAGTCTTTGTTTACCGATCAACAAATCAATTGTTTGTTTAAATAACCAAATTAAATGTTTCTCGACCACGTTTCCCATTCTTATTTAGTAATTTGATGGGTTCATAGTCGACCCAAGTAGTTATATACCGACACAAACTTTCTTATATTCACTTAACAATTCTGTGTTTCTGATTTGGGGTTTCAACGGCGGTGATGATTATGATTTTATATGGATTTGGGAGCCGTGAAGACCTTTCGATAGATGTCAACGTTTCAAAGAAACAATCTGTCTCCATCTCCAGGGCTGTGTTGGGAATTGAAATGATTTTTGGGTCAAGGAAGATGTTCCATATCGATTGACCCACACCTATTCGAAAACACTAGTACTTTTGGACATATCGGGACACTCACTCCTACATCTTTGGCCGATATGTACATCTAATAACATTTAAGAAAAAACAACACCTCCGCCCAAAAATGGAAAAACAAACGTAATGAAAACATCACCAAAAAACTACAAAAATCATAATTGAGTTTTAAGTTCTTAGATATATTTTACACCTGATGATGGTTTTATAAAAACCGAAACATGTTGTGTAAATGTTCCGAAATGCAAATCGATCAATCGATATGGAACATGAATGATATTTTATTATCTTAATTATAAGAAATTTTAAATAAAAATTATATCGTGATCAGACGGATTAAAATAAATAATTGTTATAAGAGATGTAGGCTAACTCAATAATAAAAACATAATATCAAAATCGAAATAAGGCTAATGGTATTATGTCCGTGTATCATTTCGCGAAAAAAGTGAAGAACGAATGATGATAAATACTCCCAAAACTTCTCTGTTGCAAATGCTCACTTCATGTCTCTTCATCCCGCAAGCACAGCATCCTATAAATAGGGGTACTTGTTTCCTTGTTACAGTACCAGCTGTACAGTAGCAGTTATCTAGTTAGTCATGATTCATGCTAGTACTCAGGTTGCTCAATAGAGTTCGTGAGATTTGCAACGAACTACACTAGAATTTGTTTTCATACAGACTGGCACTCCAGAATAATCATAAATACGATCTTGTGCATCCGCTGAATCAATGCAAAGTTTCTGCTTTGTGACGTTTCGTAATATGGAATTTTTTTTTAAGGTTTTGTAGCAAACTAAGAAATAGAAACCAAATAAACGCACTTAATACTCTTTTGTATTGGTATTGCGTTCGGTAACCTAACCTAACACACAAACCTAACCTAACCTAATCTGACAATGTAGGAACAAATAATGATTACGTAACAAGAAACTACTACAACAACAACAAAAATGAAATGCCTTTGCTCTGAACCTGTTGCTTATAAATTTTGAAGCTGTGAATTCTTGCCTAAAAGAGATAGGTTTATTACTAATGATTTCACCCATTCACAAATCTCAGTATGAATTCACACGCCAGAAGATGAAATGGGGGGGGGGGGGGGGGGGGGAGGGAGTATTATTATTTGAGTCTGAATTCGATCCTAATACGCCCAAAACTGATGCCTATTTATTTTATTTAAACACTAATTAAGAACACTGTACTATCAGCTGTCTTTTGCAGAACAACTGAAAGGGAATATGCATTTAAATAAAATAACGCCAAGCGTCTTTCAGTCATGGCGACGTAGGCATGCTCCCTGATAGGTCAATGACCTCTGATGAACCAATAATAGTTTATATACCTGGTTCTTTGTTATTCAGCAGATAGCCTATTCCACTGAAGTCATATATTCTTACATTAGTCAGCGAAAATAAGATCAAATTACTTACTTACTTAGCTGATCAACAAATTCCCTACTTCAACGCAACACTAAGTTTAATTACTGTG